AAAAGATACATTCAAGTACTAGTCCCTTGTACATGAGAATATGATCTTATTCAGAAATAGGGTCTTTGTAGATGTAGTCAAGTCAAGATGAGGTCATACTGAATTAGGATGGGTCCTGATTCTAATGACTGTTGTCTTTATAAGAGAGAGGGAAATCTGCATACAGGAACACATAAACACACTGTAAGAAGGCCATGTGAAGTCAGAGACAGAACTTGGACTGATACAGCTACAAGCTAAGGAAAGTTAAGGATTGATGGCAATTGCCACAAGCTAGGAGAGAGGCATGGAATGAATTCTCCCTCTCAGAGCTCCAGAAGGAACCAATCCTACCAACTGCTTGACTTTAAACTTCTAATCTTAAGAACTGAGAGAGAATACATTTTTATTGTGTGAAGGCACTGAGTTTGTGGCTGATTTTTTTATGGTAGCTCTGGACAGACACCATCTTTTAATTTGTCATGGATTATACACACAGGATCAGAGAAATTTATTCTTACACTCATGTAAGGTAATTTATTTTATACTTTTTTTTTTCTGGCTTATCCTTGAGCTCTAAAGGGTAATTGCTTAAGGAAATCCTTTTCTTTTTCTGAACAGTTTTTACGCTCAACTAAAAGTAGGTATTAATAATGTTTCCTATTAATTTCTAAGTAGACTGATAGATGATCCTAATTTCTGAACAGCGTTGGTTACATTATCAATCATTTTAGATATATACAATCTGAGGTTGTGGTGATAGTTTTAATCGGAGTCATAAGGAAAAAACATATTCAAAATCAACTAAATACAATAAAATATATTAACCAATTTTTAAAAATGACCTGAAATATCTGTCATCTTGCTGTTGACCTGAAGTATGATTTAGCAACATCACTACCTATAGTAAAAAGGAAAGTAGTACTTCACTGCATACAAGAGGAAGTCTTACAGTTATGCCACAAAATGGTGTGTCTTTTACTTCCAGGACTAGAACAGAAATGCACTCTAGAAGAAAACACAGAAACAGTGCTCATTGCTTTTTATATAAATTAAAAACCAGTGTGTGTGGAAATAGCTATTATAAATATTAAATGGCATTTCTGTATTTTTATACATGTACATATTTTTAAAGCAGATTGTACAAATACAAGGAAATGCTGTCAAACTTCAAGTTACTTTTCATTAACTATCTGCTGTCTCACCCACAGAAACCCTTCTATGTAATTTAAGGTTATATAATCTTATTGCTAATCAGCCAGCAACCACTCCCACCATTCTCTCCAAAATTATAAGGTAATATTTATGAACAAAAATCACTATGACATCATTGCAGTCAAACAATTACACAAACAAGAGTCAAATTAAGTCAAACATTTACATGACATGGAAGAGATAAAAATCACCTTTCCAAGTTATGATAGTTACCTAAAATGTATGTCTTGGGAGAGGAGACAGGAGAGAGGCTTTCTTCCTCAATGTACACCGAGAAATCTGTTTTTGAACTCTGAGAATGTAATACCAACTCAAATATTTACAACAGCAGTATGATTAACATGTTGCTATTACATTACTTAGTAGACATTTGTTCACTTTTAACACTTGCTATGAACTTCATTTAACAGACACGTGCAAAGAAAACCTTAATGAAAAGGATGATTCGTACAACCACTATGGAAAACAGTGTGGAGTTTCCTCAAAAAATTAAAAATAGAACTGCCATTTAACCCAATATTCCCACTTCTAGGAATATATCCTAAGCCTGAAACACCAATCAGAAAGAATGTATGGCCCTAACCAGTTTGGCTCAGTGGATAGAGCGTTAGCCTGCAGACTTAAAGGTCCCAGGTTCGATTCTGGTCAAGGGCATGTACCTTGGTTGCGGGCACATCCCCAGTAGGAGGTGTGCAGGAGGCAGCTGATTGATGTTTCTCTCTCATCGATGTTTCTAACTCTCTATTCCTCTCCCTTCCTCTCTGTAAAAAATCAATGATATATTTAAAAAAGAATGTATGCAGCCCTATGTTCATAGCAGTACCAATTTACAAATAGCTAAGATCTGAAAACAGCCCAGTGCCCATCAATAGATGAGTGAATAAAAAAGCTGTTACATTTACACCATAAAATACTATGCAGCTTTAAAAAAAGGCTCTATTATCCTTTGAGACAACATAGAGGGACCTAGAAATTATGCTAAGCAAAATAAGAGTCAGAGAAAGACAAATATGTGATCTCACTTATATGTGGAGTCTAATGAACAAAATAAACTGACGAACAAAACAGATCAAGACATGGAAGCATGCAACAGATGAATCTGAGGTAAGGGGGGACATGAAGAGATTAACCAAAGAACTTATATGCATAACCCATGGACACAGACAATAGTGTGATGAAGGCCTGGGATGGGGCAGGAGTAGGGAGGGAGTTAATGGGGGGGAAAAACGGGGACATCTGTAACACTTTCAACAATGTAAATTTAAATAGTGGAAACCAAATGTCCACCAACTGATGAATTAATAAAGAAAATATGGTACATCCATCTATAAAAAAAGATTCTGGGGTGGGAGTGGCTGGGGAGAGGTCAATGAGGGAAAAAGGAGTCATATGTAATACTTTAAACAATAAAGAATTTAAAAAAAAGATTCTAATCACTTCAAACAAAATTTTAAAGTTGCAGATCTTTACCTTTTCACTATAAGACTCAATGTAACCAATCTCACTCATTTTCAGATAATTTTCTTTCCAAGTTTTAGAAAGTATCATTCTAAGATTAAAATTAATGGTTCAAGAGAATGAGAACATGTCACAGACTTGGAGAAAATATTTGCAGAACACACATCTGATACAAATATTACCCAAAAATATAGAAAGAAATCAAGAAAACAAACAATTTAAAAAAAGGGCCAAAGACCTTGCCTGACAACTCACCAAGCAATATATACAGGTGGTAAATAGGAATATGAAAAGATGCTCCATATTATGTCATTGGAGAAACACAAATTAAAACGACACCACTTAACATCATTTGGTGTTTACCCAAAGTATTTAAAAACTTACTTCCACACAAAACTTACACACCAATGTTAACAGCAACTTTATTCATAATTGCCAAAATCTGAAAGCAACCAAGATGTCCATCAGTAGGATAAAACTATGGCACAACCAGACAATAGATTATTCAGCACTAAGAGAAATAAGCCATCAAACCATAAAAACATGAAAGAAACCTGTGCATTTCACTAAAAAAAGAAAAAAAAACCCCGATCTGAAAAGGTTACATACTATATGATTCCAATCATATGACATTTTGGAAAAGGCAGAATATGGAAAATAAAAAATAATTGCCAGGGATTGGGGTAGGGTGTAGGCAGCAGTGGATTCTATGGGGAGTGAAAATACTGATACAATAGGTACATATCACTCATTATACACTGGTCCACAGAATGTACATCAACAGTGAACTTGTAAACAATGGACTGTGAGTGATTATGAGTCAATGTAGGTTCATCAGTTTTAGCAAATGTACCACTCCAGTGGGAGATGTTAAATGGGGGAGGCTATACATGTGTGGAAGGGAGAAGGTATATGGTTAATCTCTTCACTTTCCTATCAAATTTACTGTGAACCTAGAACTGCTCTAAAAAAACTCGTCACAAATTTAATACGGAATATTTACTATATGCCAGGCAGTTACCATCCTTATTTACAGATGAAGAAACTAGTTCCAGGATTCATCACCCTCTTAACCACACACTACTTGAGTTCTTTCCAAATTGATTCACTATGGGAAGCCCACCTCAAATCCGAAAACCAAGGGCTCATTTTTACAGATTAAAGCCCCCTACAGAATAGATTTGACAAAAGGCATAGCCCAAGATCATACAGCTAACTCATGTCATCATGGTTTGTCCTAGCATTTTTGCGTAACATTTTTGAAGGTTATGCAGCTATCTTTGAGAAATATGGTAACACTTAAAATGCTTAGTATCTCAGTGTACATCCCAAAGTTAAATCCCCTTTTTAGGCTTGCTTAAGAAACATTCAGATTTGAATACAAGTTTACATAGAATTGAATCTTCCTAGCTGCCTTACACACTTGGGTTTCCCTTCCCCCAATTGATGCTTCTGACAAATTAAATCCTGTAAGATCAAATCTGTCCTCAATGTTTCTTATAAAAAATGATTTTGCAAACATTTATTCAATGACCTTTATAGACCAATGAAGTCCAAAAGTCAATCACCTTCCTATGTCTTCTTTATCCCCCACATACCACATCGATATCAAAATCCTAAATGTCGACAAGAGGTAGCAGTGAGAGGGGGAAGTCATATTTTTAAACCTTAATTGTCACTCAACTGTGATTCTTCAGTATCCTTCATATTTCAGGAGATACTATCCTTATCTGTCATAGGCTTCTATTTTCAAAAGTATTTACACCCAAAGAACTGTGACAAGTAACAGTGAGCCAGGATAAGAATTTCTATTTCAAACTCCATTACTGAAAAGCCATGGTTGTCCTTGGCTTCAGTTACCCCCTGGGCAAAGTTAGAATACGTAACTGTCTTATTATGTCTTATGACACCTTCAAAGAGCAAACTCATGGATCCATCTCTACATTAGAACCATACCCCAAAACAAGTAAAACAAAACTATACCTGTTTTTGTACAAATTGTCATGCCTAAAGTGTTATCTATAAAATAAAGAAAAAAGGGGGGAGGGTAACAGACCATAATTGTTCAAATTTCATTCCTTTTTCTTAAGTGCTAAGACTTTTAAGATCCTAAAATAGCCTAATCATTTCTTCAAAAACAGTTGTTGCCTATTATGTACCATACTTTTTATTTTACAAAACTCATCTCATGGTTCTCACCTGAACATGTTGAGAAGGCAATGAAAAAAAGAAACAACAGCCATGCAAAGTCTACATATGCAACTAAAAAGTTGAATTTGAAACATTTTCTAATCACCCCCCTATAGGATTTCTAACTATGGCTTTAAAACCCAATGAACAAGTGGAAGTTTCCCTCTGTACATGGCTTTTATTATTTACATAATACAATATAGCATCAATGCTGGGTAGCATGATTATGTGCAATACATAAATATGAACTATCTGTACACATCTGCAAATCTAACTCAGAACTAAGGTACAAAGATTTGAAAGCAAAATTGAGTGCTTTAAGAACAAAAGTAAAACTAAGACTGAACACTGCAATAAATCAGAAGTAGTGCCTCGTGTACATACTTAACTATTTACAGATGAAAACAGGCATTACCACAACACTAATCTAACTATACTCATTTATATATAAAAAACACAAGTTTCATATATCACAGAAAACCTTCCATTATAACACAGAAGTGATATTACCAGACAAGCATCAATGAAGTATACTGCCTCTTCTAGTTGTTATTGTACAATGCTGTAAATAATGCAGCCCATGCAACACACCCAAGAACACTAGTCCTATACCCAAGTACAATTAATATGATAAAGCAGCCCTCTGCAAGTGGTGCTGGATACCACTAAGAAGTCTACTGCAGCCATGTTGGTTATGATTTTCCATGCAGAAGGGTACAGTTACATTAACTGAAGTCTTTTAAAAAAGCTCTAAACATTCTTTCTTCAACCAAAACATTCAACAAAAGATGCACATGAAAAATTAACTGTTCAGATACCTTTGCAACTTAAAATTCAGATGCATGTTACTCAACAGAGCTACTGTATGTGAAAACCAAATGCAGAGTTTTAATTTCTTCTTGTAAACAAATTAATCCTAGTGCAGTTCTGTGCTACACATTTTTAGCAATGAGTAAGTAATGCAGACATCTTCTGGTGCAGGTCAACAATAAGCTTCAAAGATAGCTCCAGACCCTGTTGCTTGATGGTTTTACTCATAACCAGTTGCAATGTTTACCTTTCACAGAATGTCTTTGCCAGCTTTTAGGCCAATTAGCCATGCTTATATATGGCATCAAATACTGGTTTCATGGGAAGTTCTGATCCTCTTTTATCACCTTCTTCCTGCTTCCAAAGAACATGTTGTGAAAATTAACAGTGAAGTTTAACTATGGTAGAAGTAGACTGCCAGTCCTTTTCTGGTGTACCATTTTTTTAGAAAAATACAGGCACATAACACTAGCCAAAAATTATACCTTGATACATTCCCAAGAGGCAGATATGCTGCAAACATGCAGAGATTTCATGTTTTGTTTGGCACGTGGGAGCTAAATTTTGTCCCTGTTATCTGTGAAATTCAATTTGATATGCAGATTTCCATCCAATTTTATTCAAGGGAGGGCATATACATTTTGTAGGGCTGTATCTATCCAATTCTGCCTGTAACAAACACCCAAACATCCTAAAATATCAATTATAAGACAGACAAGTAGTATAAAGTAAAACTCTGGAGAACATCAAAGGAAAATGGCCATGCATCTGCTCTTTAATGTTTTCCTACGATATATTAAAATAAAAACAAAGTTTCAGTCTCTTCACAAGTAGTAATTTATATTCTCTGGATTTTTTCAGCCACAACAACTGGATTCTCTTTTCTGATTTTTGCTGCAGCTTCTGCTTTGTAATCATATGGACAGTTGTGCTTGTCAGAGTAACGGTGAAGTCCACAAAACAAATTTCCACATCGGCAGTCAAACCCTGTACACACAAGAGGAAGCAGAGTCACTTGGGAACTTGTAGTAATTGAAAGGAAAAGAAAAAAGACTTACTCACTATAGAAAAGGAACCATCTTTCATGGCTCTTTGCAACAAGACAAAGTCTGTCACTTCAAATTGTGAAACAGCTTTTAAACCACCTTTGACATGGTGAGAAATTCAAATAACTATTCTTCCACAAACTCCCATAGATATCACACAGGGTAGAAATTACACAGGCTCTGTAATCAGAATGACCTGGATTTAAATCCTCCTTCTACTGTATGTTAACTAGGTAGTTTCATGTGAAAACAAGGGAAAGACAACCAATTAAAGAAAACTAAAAAGTATCTAGAATATTTTGTACCTGGCTCAAAGTAGGCACTATTTAGTTCCATTTCCTTTTTCATGGGAGAACAAAGGAAAGAATCAAAAGGAATGTACTTTTATCAATTCAATAAAGGAAAGTAATTCATAAGGCCTCAAGTTAAAGGATTTCATGTGATTAGGGAGACAAATGGAAATCAAACTAAACTTCCTTCCACTATCCCCCTTTGTAGTCCATTTCAGAAGCTTTCTATTACTGAAAGTTGGGATCCTGAAATTTCACAATAATTACTTTGCCGTAAAACAAGTGCTTTATTACCTTATTTTAGAAGATCTGGAAGATTTTATTTTATGTGTTAAGACCAATCAGCCCCTTATGAAGAGACCAGGAGCTCCTTGTTGAACCCTAGCTGTAAAATATAGAGTCTATTATATGGTTTAATACCTGTAAGGCCAACTTTCTTTCTGCACATGAAACACCTATTCTTCTTTGGTTTGGGTAACTCAGGAGCTTTTTCTTCACTTTGAGAAGTACTAGGTTGAGAAACTGATGAACTGGGCTGAGTAACAACTGAAAAACAAGGGTACAAATTAGAAATTTGTCAAGAGTTCACTGACTGCTAATTAACCAATTAGCTAAGCTGAAAAAAATAAACACACCTATGACTTTTTACTTTTATATCAGAACTTTCAAATATAAGAATTTCTTGCCAATCAACATACTACTTGTTCCGCTAAATTTTATAAAATTATCACCCCACTCAAATTCCTTTTAAACTCCTCTAAGCAGCTAGTACTAAGAAACAAAACCCCAATTCTAAAAGTTTTTAAAGACCTAAGAGATGTTGGCCACATGCTGTTTTTCCAGGTTGCAATTGCCTACATATAAACGTCTTAATTAGGGCTGCTGAAATTCATTACTACTAAGTAAATAAAGTTAGCAACTTCTGAGGTACTTGACTATAAAAATGTCCATTTGGTTTTAGACTTACAGGAAAAAGTAAGATTGTGTAGGTAAAACCAGCAAATTTTGACAAGTGAAGCCCAAATCATTAATCACTATCTTCTGATCCTAAAATGTCACAATAATTATTTTGCCATTATAATAAGTGTTTTAGTGTCTTCTTCAGAAGATCTGGAAGATTTCTTTTTTAAGTTTTTTTTTGAAAGATTAGCAAACACTGTCTTTAGGACAACATAAGTACTTGTGCAGTTTTGACTTTAGACTGTTAAGGATTTTATAGACAAAACTAAAAAAATTTTTTATTTTCATTAAAAGTCCACTTGTCTACATGAAATCAACAGAATTTGTCAGTATGAAGGTAAAACTGCAGATTACTGGAGTTAAGCCCATATTACCACCACTAGTCATTTGCCAAATCTAATTATACTTTTATAAAATTCAACTACATTAGAAGCACTGTAAACTGAGTTTTAATATTAATCCAAACCCCAACAATAGCAAATTAATGTATGCGATGCTAAAATTACTGCCTAAATAGGCCAGCACCAATGCTAGTAGCAGTAAGTCCAAACTCTAGAGACAAGCCAACTGGTGCAACTTATTCTAAAAATTCTCCCCAAATTCATAACTCATTTGCATTAGTAATTTATTCAGTGAGATTAATAGATTAACAGAATATTCCACCTATTACTTATTCCTAACAATCTACTATGACAACCTCAATATATTTTTTCCTGATGGTATGACAATAGTTTGGGGGAGGGGAAGAGTGATAGCCATTTCCTTGGCCACACCTGAAAACTAAACAGTGGTTCCGTAAAGATAAGGAGGGGTTTAAAAAAAAAAAAAGATAGAAAAAGGCAGAGAAACTGTGAACTACAGAATTCCTACAAAGAGAATAAATGCAGAGACTAGCTACAGATCTAACCCAGAAGAGTCCTGTTTCAAGGCCAGACTAATTTGTTTAAAACACATCCCCCCGCCTTAAAAAGCCACACACACACACACAAATTTGGTCTGCTTTTTCAGAAGGATGGAACTCATTTCAAAATATCAAATATGGATTCACTTGCCCAACTTATAAATTTTCACCTTAACTTTATAAATTAAGATTGATGTAGTTCACATAAGCTTGTGATGTTAGAAAAAGCTAGCCTACAAAACAGATTATGTATCCACTGACATTATTTCCATACAATAAATGTTATATTGTGTTCAATCAACACTACTAGGAAATAATGAATTGATAAAAAATGAAATAAGTGAACTATTATTAATTCACACAAGTCAGTCTTCTGGCTAATACATTTAGAGTACTCATGGTTGCTGTATAAGTTAAGCACTGACTTAAAATCACTAAAGAAAACAAAAAATGCCTTTCCATACTGCGTTTTAAACTCACAAAATATGGGATCCTACACCTCAATTTGAAAGTTTTATGTTTAATATGTTCTACTGCTTGAGTATTTTCTACAATATTGACAATATCAAGACTGAATAGCTGTTTTTGACCTAAAATTTTCCAGCTTTGAAATTTAATCTACATAATTTTTTCCAAGTTTATGAACAATGACTTCTCTAATGATTTAGATACTTTTAAAATATGACAGTAATACATTATTTTAAGTTCATTAAATTCTTAATGTTACTGGTGTGGGGGATGGTGGGGGGTGGGCAGAGAAGAAAGAAGAGAATAGAATGACTATTTTATACTCTCTAAAGAGAGTGGTTCTTGCTTGGCCTGTATTTTTTGGCTCTCTCCCTCTTTGGTCCTTCAATGGGAAGGAACAAATCCCCCCACCAACCCTATCTCACACTACCGAGTCCAGAACTGAACTAGTATTAAACAAAAAGCATACCTGGCTCTGACACCTCTGTTTTCGGGGTAGTTATTTTGTCCTCTCTTGAAATGCTCATTTCTGTCATTTGCTGAGTTACAGGCAAGGCAGCCACAGGCACATTTCTATTTGAGTTCAAGCAAACATTTTTAAAGATGTTAAGGGTACTTCTTTGTGAGGTAAGTTGTCAGTTCAACTTCAAATTATATATTATTTCCAACATATTCAAATGGAGCTAAATAATCTAAAATTTTAAAATACTGGATGCTCAGCAAAAATGGTTGAGAATAAAGCAAGCAATTTGATAAATAGCTCATTTCAAGGCTGCATATCTGTATAAGTCACAATGTTTTATTTTAGTCAACTAAGAATTTTTAGCTGTGCCTGTAATCTGTTTAAGGGCAAAAGGGGGCAGTTTTGCCAAAATGCCTTGTGTGGCATTACACTAGTCTGCAGAGCCTCACTCCTACAACTTCTAAACCTCAATTACAAGGAAATAAAAGCACAGCATTCTCAACACAGCATCCTTGGTGGTGGTATAGTGCGTTATAATATACATCTTTACTCAATGACCTACAACAAGATCATACATTAAAAGATTTTGAAATCCCTGACTGTGCAACAGATGCAAAGCCAAGGGCATTTGATATATTAATATCCTTATATATGAACACATAATTATAATTGTATGGATAGCACAGATATCTTCATTTCCTCCTATTACCATAAAAACTCTGAAATGCTCAATCTTACCTTGATTTTTCAGATGTGCTGCCAGCAGCACCTTCACAGTTGTTTAAACTAGTGTCTGCTCTTTGCACAGATGCAGAATCTGAGGTAGGACTGTTGGAACCACTAGCTGTCCCTATTTAAAAAAAGAATTTGTAAGAAACAAAGCAATACTATACTCAGTATCAAGACTATTAATAAGTAACAAATACTTGCATTTAATTAAGTTAGTGATTTAAGCATTTTCATTGTGCTGCAGATTCCTACACTTGAGTATCCAAAAAAAATATATTTAAAAGCCACATGCAGTGAATACAAGTATGAAACAAAATCTCAAAAAGGAAAATGAAAAAGCTAGTCAAGATGCTTGTTGATAGTCACTCATTCCTGATGTAGTTATACCAAGTACTTGGGCTGTTGTTTTAATTTCAAGCTTTTCTCAGGTCTTCTCTCTTTGGGCTTTCAGCATTGATTCTTGGTCTTAAGCCCCAATTCTTGGCTCTATGTTTTCTGTTCACCAATTCTTCAAATGGGTTTTTCCTTGGAAACAACTTACCCATTGGGCTCATTCTGCCACTATTCTGCTGCCTCTGAAGATGCTCTTTGTAGCAAACAGAACACATTCCATTTGTCCTAGGATTCCCATAAAAGCCACATCCTGTACTACACAGCATGGGCCCTGGGGTCTGGTTAGTCTCCTGAGCCATATTTTTCTGCTATAAAGAAAACAAAAACAAAATTTTAGAAACTAGCATTTAACCAAAATAAAATCACTAAATTAGTATATGATGGCCCCTAGTTTTTCTAAACATCAAGTCTATTTCTAAGTGTATTTAATTCCAAATTAAAAAAAGTAGGGCAAGAAAAGTATGAATATTTTGCTGCCTTTATAAAACAAAAGGCATGAAAGGAATTGTTTTATAATAAAGCTTAATAAATAATGACCTATAATGACTTCACATATAATGGTAGGGCAAAAAGATTCTACATTTAAACATTAAAATGTTGTTATTTCACTTTTTCAATTTCGGAAAAGGTTACTCTGCCTGATACCACAATTACACTTAAATCAATTTAGGCAACTGATATCCAAGTTCCTTTCTGCTCTCCTGCACATTGGTTAAAAATATTTCAAATGAAACTTGCAAATGGGAAAAGCCTACAATCTTAATTATTGACACTTGAGATCTACTAGTGGTTCTTTAAATTAGTTGTATACTAGATGTAGCGCTAGAGTTTTCTTAAAACATCTGAACATACTTGGGCCCAACTATTAATTCAACAATTCTGCTACAGGGCTGACTGTAGTCAACTAGTAATTAAACAATTCTGCCAACTGAAATGAGAGCTGGTAGATGACCTAGCCTTTCCTGTTACTTTGGAATCAACAGTGAAGCTCTTAAGAATTCAGGAGGTCAGCTGCTTATGCTTTTATGTTCTACATTTGAGGTGTGAAATCTGGGTCTGAGTACTTTTAAAGTCAGTGCCTAGAAATCTGCAATGCTCAAATTATCAGCCATAGATTTCTCAGCCAAAGACTAGCTAGCTCTTGAAACTTAACAAGTGCCTGTCTTCTTCATACCAGAAAATGAAATCTTTCCAAGCTCAATTCAATAAGGCAAAGAAAGTAAAGCAATATAAACACACAACCTTTAGTAATAGTTAATGCTAGGTTACCAGAAAAAACTTTATACAGAAAGCACACTCTTGCTTTTGCACAAGTCTTATTAAAATTAGCACAAATATATAAAAAAATTAAAAATTAGCACAAATATTTTGCCATATTTAGTGAATTTTCCTGAGTTAAGAGAAAAACACACACTATTAATATGTATGAATGTACAAAGCATACTTAACATTTTATAAAAAAAAAACCCACCACAGATCATTTGCTCTAACTTGTCACTCATTTAAATGTATCTTACTGTTGATAATAAGATCACTTATGATTTATTAAGTTACGAACATTTCAAATAAGTGCAGGAAAGTACTTCAAGTTATAGCTTGCCATCTTCTGGAATTTTATATTGCTTTTTCCAATTACCACTTCTAGAATAAACTCTTTAGGGAAATATTACAAACAATGTCTTACTTATTAGCAATTTTTATTAACAAAATTATTTTTAAAAAGGGTGGAAGAGGAATAAAATTCTCTGACCTGGCTGAAACCTGACAATTATACCCCCAGTTAAATAATAGTAACCTTTACTTTTGTTAGCAAAAAGACACCATTTTCAACCTTAAAAATATTTCAAGCCAATCAAGCTTGTATGGAGAGTGACCAAGATCCTCAATTTACTTCAGACAACAGTATTAATTTAGGTGACACTGCCTCTTTAAATAGTAAGTGGAATTTAGCTGACTCATTTTGGAGCAGAGTAGTGTAAACATTTCAAAATCCCTTATGAAGTTTAATAAACACTTTCAGTTGTGTTTTTTATTTTTTGAGCATATGTGCAAAAAATGCTTCAACTAATAAATTATGTATTTATTTGCATGCCCTCTACCCAAAATGTATGAAGCTTTATCCTAAAAAAACAAGTTGGGCCATTCTTTGAACCCAGTTTAAGAATTATGCTAGCTCACTTTCTATACAAACTTGCAGTGTCATCTGATAGTGGCTTTAAAAGCAAATTGGCCTAAATTTGAGCCAACAAACATTAATATTTGTCAATCTGATTCTTAAAATCTTTTTTATGTAAATAAAATGGGGGGGGGGGAAGCTCATCCAATGATTTCATCCACTTCGACATGCAAAGTATTCCACCTTTCCTTCTTCAGAAAGCACAAAACACATCTACCTTCAATTCACTATAGTCTTCAACTCTGAGACAACAGGGTATGTCTTCTCGATGGCTTCTCATCTTGTAGACTATTCCCCCCAGCTTTTAAATGCCATCACATGTGCACAGCTTGCCTTAATATTTCTCAGGAGCTTAGATCACATGGGCGGCGCTTCAGCCTGTCACAAGGCTGCAATGTGACAGGCTGAGCTGGATGGAGGATCTCACATAAAGCCTAGTCAACAGGGGCCTCTGAAATCAGCTTCTATTTATATCCCAGAGCCTGCCAACTCCTACACAACCCCAAAACCTAAGGATGCAGCCTTCACACATCTAATATAATAAGAAAACAAAACAAAAAGATCCCATTTAGGCTGCTATAGTTTTTCTCTAATATAGGGAGGGTTAGCGAACAATCTCAAATTCAATCTAGAAGATGCAAGCAGGCATCATTAATCACTCTGAAGCCAAAATGGTCAGGGTTGTTTATAAAAACCAAGCACAGTGGAGAGAGCATCAAGGCAGAAAGAATAGTTATGTTTAGTGGTATTTTTTCTTTGGGGGGGGGGGGAGTAGGGGGGGTTGCCAAAAGGTACTATGGTTTCCTCCTACTTGGCAATGTTTTAGAAAAATACAGTACCACTACTACTTAGTACCTTTAAAGTTGATAGAAACTTGAGCATTATGCGTCAGCTCTATCATGTATAAGTGAAATTTATTTTTCTTGTTTTGGCTTCTAATCCATAGCTTCAAAAAACAAACCAACAAAACTCCAAAACCTGGCATGCAACTGAAACTCTCCAGCCTCAAATGTAATTAAAAAAACCCCAAAAACTGCAAGAAATCTATGGAATTTAGACACGGTACAAGATGTTAAGAATGCCCACTCACCTGAAGTTGATACCTGAGTTCTAGCCTCTAATCAACTTCTAACTAAGCCAGTGACCTTGGGCAAGTCCTCACTCTCCCTATCTCAGTTTCCTTTTTACCAAATGCAGTACATTAGTGTGATTTTAAAAGGCTCCTTTCCAAGCTTAATACCGGGCCTCAGAGACAGAAAATAAGGGAAAACTACGAACAAATCCCTTTCCAGGGCCATTTAAAGAAAAAACTTTCAGGATAAAATTGCAGTGCTTTCCCTAGTGAAGTTCTAAAATCCTACTTTTTAAAAATGAAGTTTCAGATTATTCTTTTTTGGTAGATTTCCCGAATGCCTGGTTTAAGAACAGGGGCTCTGTGACCTATATTACTTTGCACTTCTATGTCCTTAGACCAGATTCTTAGGAGGCATTCCATCAGTAAAAAGATAACCCGGGCCTTTCCCAAAAACACAACTCCACGGAGAGGGAGCAGTCACCAGCCTAAATGCACGAAACAAAGGGGAAGGTGCTCCATTTCCTTCATGAAAAGGGATCCTGGGCGAGAAATGCCAGCGACGCTGGGAAAACTACAGCCCAAGGACAGAGAGGCCACCTCCCCCACGTTCCAGCGGGTTTCCGAGCAAGTTGGGGTCCCACGGGCCTCGCACCCTCGGCCAAGCTCGGGCCTCGCTCAGGAAAAGCCCAACGGGGCCTTCTCCAAAAACTACTGAGTCATGCACAACGGCAGCTCCGCAGGACCGGCCGGCCCCTCGCCCGGCGGGCCCCCACCGACCCCGGCCTCGAACGGCTCCCCCGAGGCGGCGGCGGAGCGGGGGGCGCGGCGAGCGGGAGCCCGGGGTGCGGCGAGCGGGGGGCGCGGCCGCCGCCACCGCCTTTGTCTCTCCGGGTCCATGTCTGCCCACGTCGGGCGCCGCCGGCGAGGGCGGCCGGGACTCTCGCGAGGGGAGGCCCGGAGGCCAGAGCCCCCACCCTCGGAGGCCGCACGCCGGGTATTGTCCCCGACTGTGCGTGGTGCGAGCGAGCCAGGGGCGCAGGGAGTCCAGCCTCCGGCCACGACGACAGGATGACGCCTCCGTCTTTGTGTTTCCTGAGCTGGCCGGCGGGCTCCCCTCCCCTGGACGCCGCCATCCGCGACCCGCTCAGGCCCCGCCGGAGGGCCAGGGTCCCCGGGCCCACCCCGGACGGCACGCGCCGCCGGGCGCCCTCCCCCTGCGCCCCACACTCACCCTGCGGCGAGCAGGAGGCAGGAGCCGGGCCTGCGCGCGACGCCGGCGCAGTGGGCCCGGGCCGAAGCCTGAGACGGGCGAGCCGGACGCCCTGGAGCCGCTGCCGCGGGCCGGGAGCGGGTAGGAGCCGCGGGCGGGGGTGGCGCTGCCGCCGCCGCGGGGGCCTTCTTTTGTTCCAGCAGGAGCCCCGAGCGTGGCCGGGACGCGGCGGAGCTCGGGAAGTGGGAGGAGGGAAGCGAGGGGGAGGTAGAGGGGGAGGCGGTGGGAGGACGGGAGGCTGCGGCGGCTAACGCTGCTCGCGGCGCTCGCCCGTCGTCTCCTCACGCCTCCGCCGGCGGCGGGTAGGGCCGATTCCGAGGGCGAGCGGGGCGGGCGCCGCGAGGACTGGGCGCCGCGAAGGCCCGCCGATGGTGTTCTCCGTCGCTGGTGCTACCGCCGATGAGGCCGTGGCTCCCGGGGGCGAGCGAGCCCGACTACATGCAGACAGGTCCGCGGTCCGGCCGACTGACGCTTCCTCTCCGCCCCGCGCCCGGGCCGTGAGGGAAAGAGGGAGGGAGGGGCGGGGCCTGTGCGTCAGCGAAAACCCCGACGGCGGCGCTGGGGAGCGTGATGACGTAGCCGCCCGACGCCCCGCCCCACCCGCTCCTCGGGGCGGGGCGGAGCCTGACGGCGCGGCTGTCGCGCGGAGCCGAGTCACCGGCGCGGCCGGCCCCAGGGTGGAGCTGGAAAGAGCGCGTCCTACCGAGTATGTGGTTCTATTTTTAACCCGATTGTTCGCCCTCAGCCTCCCTCCTCCCGAATTTCTCACTCGCGCCTACTTTTCGCCATCTGAGTTCTCACGCTTTTTCGCGAGCCCTTTCCTCCTTCACGCCAACGACCCCTCCCCCACCCCCAAGAATTACACGGATTCGCTTCGCGAAGAGGAAAAGGCACTGCTTTACAGACAGATTTGGGGTGTTTTCGCCCGTGCGTGAAGTCTCCGCCCGCCCCGCCCCGTTCCCTCCCACCCCCGTGGGTCCCAGAGTCCAGCGGCTCCAGCCTGATCCTGGCCCGGACGCCGCCGGCAAGGAGCTGGGCCGGCGGCGCTCGCTCAAGGTCAAGGTGGTTGTGCAGAGTCAGGGAATGCTCCGCCATCTAGCGTGGTGCCAGCCCGCGGCCCGCGCCTCTGTTCTGAACAAACTGTTTGGGCCAGCCTGCAAAATCCCTGGAAATGGGCTGTTCCAGCAGAGCGCCGCGAACTGGGGAAGGCACCGAATGTTCTGCTCAAGGAATGGAGTGAAGGGACAAACAAGCTAGACCCGGGGCAGAGACCAGAAAGGAGGAAACGCTGCAGGAGGAAGTTCAGGAGGGGAGAGGGTGAAGCAGGCAGTTCACCGATGAGGCACAGGGCCCAGCGAATTTGAAAGGGCGAGTTAACCCCGAGCGCTAGAACCTGTGCAAAGCACCACCACCAACAAAAGACTCCCACTTCCAGCTGACCCCTCCAAGCGACTCTAGTCAACTCAAGAGGACAAAATGACTACGACAGATAGGACTTGTGATGTTGTCTAGTAACCGAGAGTGTAATGAAGGAACAGGAATGAGGTTTAGGGCTTCTATTAGCCCCCATTGAGATGCTCTGTGGATAAGAGCATCTGCCTCGCGGGTTGGATTCTGGTCAAGGGAACTTACCGGTTGCATCTCGGTGCACTGCACGCGGGATGCCGTCGGTGTGAGATCGATGTTTCTCTGTGCCTCTCCTCCTCCTTCCTATGTTTCTCTCCGTCTCTCCTCCTCCTTTCCACTCTATAAAAAAAATCAATGGGATATCCTGGGGCGAGGATTAACAGCAACAACAAAAAGATTGGAGTGACAGCCCTTCAGTGCGTCCCAAACTCTTGGATCAGAAAAGCCCCTGCGGTGCTTATTTAAAAGATGACTAGGCCTCTTTCCTGGAGATGGTTTTTGGTTGGTCTGGGGTGGAGCTCAAGAACCTGTATTTTAAGTAATGCTCCAGGTGATCACTTTATAATTTTGTGTATTTGGGAGCCCCTGTTTTGGTGCTCTGTGCCAAAAGTTCCAAAATCAATCAGTTTCCTGCCGCAGTAAGCAAAAATACCTAGGATATAAGTGACCATTTAGGCTAATTTCTGTGGTTAGTTAATGTGCTGGAAGTGTTAAGTAGTTTCAGTCACTGGTCCCAGGACCATTGGAATTTATTTCCTCGAATGAGTAGTTAAGTTAGTAAAAACAAAGCAGTTACCACTTACAGATCATTTTTGGTGCTAAGTATTTTTTTCCATTTAGGGCCTCATTTAATCCTAATGGTAATTCACTGAAAGCAGATACTATTATAACTATTAAGAAAAGTGACTTGCTTGAAGCCCTGAAGGACAGGGAAGCTATGAAACTAATTCTTACTGAGGAAAATAATAACAGACTCCCCCTCACTCCCAGAATTTTAGTTATTAAAAAGTGAAACACGCCCTAGCTGGTTTGGCTCAGTGGATAGAGCCTGCAGACCAAAGGGTCCCGGGTTTGATTCCGATCAAGGTATCCTACCTTGGTTGCAGGCTCCTCCCGGGCTGGAGACCTGGCCAGGTGTATGCAGGAGGCAACCATTCAATGTGTTCCTCTCACGTCAGTGTTCTGTCTTTCCCTCTTTTCCACGCTCCCTAAAAATCAATGGAAAAATATCCTGGGGTGAGGATTAAAAAAAAAAAGAAGAAGAAATACAAATTCTCAGGGCCCCACACCAGACCTATGGAATCACAAACTGGGGTTTGGTCCAGGAGTCTGTGTTTCAGCAAGTTTTTTGTGTGATTCTGATGCATGCTCAAGTTTGAGAATTGTTCACTTACCCCTACTATGCCATCAAGTGACCTCTCAGATGCTCACACCAGGTAAAGGGAAAAGGTTAAAAAAAGAAGAGATTCTTTTCATGTTACTGATGTAACAGATTATGGGATATGCACCCCCCCCCCCTTTGGTGTTCTAAATTGTCAGACTCTAAAGGCAAACTATAAACAAAATATACAATAGAATGCTCTTAATTTAGTATGCGAAAGGACTGTCACTCTATGATCATCAGAAAAGGTTGAAACTGACCTTTGTAAAATAGATAACAGGAAAAGTGAGGTATGCTTGAATGTGTGGTTATTAATTGTTTGAAAACACCTTTCATAGAATTTCATTATGTGGATGAAAAAAGATTTATATAGAAAGTATAGCCTCACAAGGTGGTCTGTTCATTAACTCCTAACTGGGCAGGTCATGACGGGTTGTCATGCCCCAGGCATATAACTTTTATAGGAAAAGGTTTACCTTTGCCTTAAATAGTCCCTGTCCACTGTTTTTGTGCATCTAGATTATCACGACTTTGAAACAAGGGTAACCACCCTCAAGAGAGCACATGATCTTTTTTTCCTCTTTTTAAATCTTTATTGATAAAAGTATCACATATGTTCTGTTTTTTCCCCCATTGAACCTTTCTAGCTTCCACCCACCCCCTGCCCTAGGCCTTTACCACACTATTGTCTGTGTCCATGGGTTATGCATATATGCATACAAGTTCTTTGGTTAGTCTCTTCTCACCCACCCACCCCGTCCTTCCCTCTGAGATTCATCAGTCTGTTCCATGCTTCTTTGTCTTTGGATCTATTTTGTTCCTCTATTTATTTAGTTCTTTAGATTCCACATATGAGTGAGATTATGTGATACTTACCTTTCTCTGACTGGCTTATTTTGCTTAGCATAATACTCTCCAGGTCCCTCTGGGCTGTCTCAAAGGATAAGGAAGAGCCTTCTTTTTTTACTGCTGCATAGTATTCCATGGTGTAAATGTACCAATAATGAATTCTCATAAAGAGAAACTGGGGGGGAAAAATCCCATTTACCATTTAACAAACAAATTAAAATACTTAGGAATAATTTAAACAAGGAGGTAAAAGACTTGTACTCATAAAACTACATGACATTTGAAAAAAGAAATACTAGTAGAGAAAGGTATGAAGAAGTGGAAGAATATACTGTGTTCATGGACTGGTAGATTTAACATAATTAAAATGTCCATACTACCCAAAGCAATCTATAGATTCAATGCAATCCCTATTAAAATACCCATGACATATTTCACAGATCTAGAACAGATACTCCAAAAATTTACATGGAACCAGTAAAGACCCTGAATAGCTGCAGCAATCTTAAGAAAGAAGAACAAAGTTGGAGGACTCACAATACCAGATATCAAGTTATACTACAAAGCCACTGTAATCAAAACAGCCTGGAACTGGCACTAGAACAGTTTAATTGATCAGAACAGAGACCCCAGAAATTGACCCAAGCCATTACACTCAATATTTGACAAAGGAGGCAAGAACATACAATAGAGTGAAAACAGTCTCTTCAATAAATGGTGTTAGGAAAAGTGGACAAATACATGTAAAAAAATGAAACTGGACCACCAATTTATACCATACACAAGAATAAACTCAGAATGGATGAAAGACTTAAATGTAAGTTGTGAAATCATAAGAATCCTAGAAGAATCCAGAGGCAGCAAAATCTTGGACGTCTCTTGTAGCAATATGTTTGCTGATACATAATCTTAACTGTTCAGTTATCCAATCTCTTCCTTACTTTCTTCTACCTTCATGTAATCTTCCTTAATTTCCTCCTTAATTTCAAATGCATAAAAGAAACTGCAAAACTGTCGTTCTCCGAAAATTTAAGATGATGTGTCCCAGCAATTGTAGTCAGTTTGGCTTAATATCTTATTGAAATTTTATAGGTTTGGACCTTCTTAACCCATTGTATGCCATAAGCGTCTAGATGCAAGCAACGGACCTTCCCCACATGCCACACACGTCTATAATAAAAAATGTTTTCCATAAGTGGCTGCCCTGACCAACTTTAAAATCATTTTTCGCGAGAATTTTCAGCTGAAAATATTCAAGAACACCTGAATTGTGAGTAAAATATTTATTTTTATAATATTCATTGCAAATTGATTTTTAAAATTAAATTCAAAATATTATGGCGTGTGGGGATGGTTTCCATTTTGGATGCATGGCAGTTGGCTGGTTAAATCTACAATTGCATAGCACATACCAAGTGTCTGGTACTGGTCCATTCCTAAGTAGTCATTGAAAATAATGTTAATTCAATTATCCTTTATTCATTTTTTTTCTTTAAAAATGTTTTGCACATTTGACTACATTCTAGGTACCACGGAACTGGGTGCTGGAAAATACATTGGTGGGAAAATGGATCTTACTCTTGTTTTCATGGCTCTTACTGTCAAGTTGGGGAGAAACATCCTATATAATAAAAGCCTAATATGCAAATGGACCGAATGGAGGAACGACCGGTCGCTATGATGCACACTGACCACCAAGGGGCAGACGCTCAATGCTGGAGCTGCCCCTAGCCCACAGGCCCCAGGCCAGCCAAGGCAGGTGCCAGCGGGATCCCCCCATCCCCTGATCGCCCGGCTGGTCACCCCGCAAGGGAAGTGATCAGCAGGGTGGGGGGAGGGGCTGGTGAATGGGCAGCACCAGGCTGGCCAAGGCAGGTGCTAGTGGGGGCCCCTCCCTCACCCTCCATAGCCCCGTCAGTCGCCCCAAAGATCAGCCCTGATCACTGGCCAGGCCTAGGGACCCTACCCATGCACAAATTTCGTGCATTGGGCCTACTGTTAACAATATTATCATATAAATATATAACTATGAACTGGTAAATAACTTGAAGGAAAGGTACAGAATGCCATGGAGCATATAACCAATAGCAGTGGATACTGAAAAACACCCAGGTCTGAGTCCCATTACCAGTCATCCCATTGCCAGTGGAGCCAGGCTTACTTCTTTAAAGTGTTTAACTATAGTAAACTGGCATGTCCTTTGAGACGGTTGGAACAGTTTGTATTCTGCTTCAGAATTAGGTAAAGTCATTGCAGATTCACTTACATTTTTCTTTGTCATCTAGGAATGGGCCAAAAAGGGGATTGGTGATTGGAGAAGAGCAAATGTAATTAAATTTCTTAGAAAGTAGAAACTGACATCTCTGAAAAATAGCAATAAAAGTTATTAGTCCACTGTAAAATATAAAAGACCTGGAGTTATTTTAACTTGACATTTAACTTTCTATTATGGAGACAATTGCTTCTGTGGCATTATTGTAATACTCTGTCATGGGTAACTTCATTTCCTCTGTGTGCCTGAGTAGAGCTATGTGAAGCACAAAGTTTTTGCTGGGTTTTTAAAAACTGTTTAGTGCTCTGGTCAGTGTAGCTCCATTGGTTGGAACATCATCCTGTACGCCAAGGGTGGGGAATGTCCAGCCTGCAGGCCATATAAGGCCCCCAAAATCATTTGGTCTGACCCTGCCAAGGCATTAGGGGTGAGTTAATTAAATGTTTGACCAAATATGGCAGCTAATTTTTAAGTTGATAATTTTGTGTGGTCCACGAATGATGTTATAAATATCCAAATGGCCCTTGGCACCAAAAAGATTTCCCATCCTTGCTGTACACCGAAAGGTTTCAGGTTGAATTCCCAGTCAGGGCACGTACCCAGTTTGTGGGTCGATTCCCAGTGTGGGCTCTGATGGGGTTTGTGCTTCTCACTCTCTCCCCTCTCTCTAAAATCAATTTTTTAAAAAACCGTTGGGTGTTATTTGATGTCCATATAGTGTTCCTTTCCTTTTCTTTTTTAGTCCCTTCGCAAATCAAAGATCAAGGTAATGAGACTCAATTATATTTTTATTATTTCTAAAATGATTGAAAAGGATTACAATATTGTACTTAGAGCAGGTCAACTAATTAAAAACTTTAAAGCATACATACTATTACTAATATTTTTCCTTTTGAATAATTAATAATTAGTTAAAATATCAGTGAATCCAATAATGGATTGGTTTTAGACCCAGATCAACAAGTGGTTGGCTGAATATTTTTTCCCTCAAGAACTTGATGAAGCAAGTAGCAGTTTAATTGTATAGACCTTTTGATAATTTTAAAGCCATACTTATTTTCAGTGAAAACAATTTGATTAAAGAATTTTCAAATAAATGTCATGGATATCTTACCTGATTAGAGAAGACTTTCAAACAAACTCCAGATACTGTCAACATAGCCATCAACAATTTTAAAGACTATTTAAATGGCCTGGCCAGCGTGGCTCAGTGGTTGAGTGTCAACCTATGAACCAGGAAGTCACAGTTCAGTTCCTGGTCAGGGCACATGCCCAGGTTGTGGGCTTGATCCCTAGTGTGGGAGGTGCAGGAGGCAGCCGATCAGTGATTCTCTTTCATCATTGATGTTTCTATCTGTCTCTCCCTCTCCCTCCCTCCCTGAAATCAATAAAAATATATTTCTAAAAAAATAGCTAACAAATTTTATTTTTTAACAACTTATTGTGAATCATGTGTGGCTGTTTGTTTTGACTTGTACTTGGGTGTAATTAGGTGGACTCTTTACTATGGTCAACTCTTGTTACCAGATAGTGAATTATATGTCATATACCTCATCTGTAGTAACCTGTATACTTTGCCACTTACAGCACATTTGTTTTTCTATTTTTCAGGGATATTGAGAATGAGGGAGAAGTAGGCAAGAAGTAGGCAAAAGAGTTTTGGTTTTGGAGTGAAATTCTTTTCTACAGCTGTTTTATTATACTATTTTTAAAAATTACAAAATACTAATAATATATGAATATATATTCTCTTTGTTTAAATTTCAAGCAACACATAATTTGAACAGAAAATTAGTCTCTTGTTCAAGCCACCCCCAACCCATTCTCCTGTTCCCAAAGGTAATCCTTAGGTACTTGTGTCTATCCTTTCAAACTTGTTTTCTTCGTTCATGTACTTATACATAATAGAGGCATTTTTTGTGATTTGTTTGTTTGCATACATGAAATTAAGCTCTATATATTGCTCTGCAACAGTATGCCTTGGGGATCTTTCCATGTCAGTTCATAAAAATCTACCTTATTCATTTTAACAAATTGCAGAGTATGGGTGTAACATAATTATGTTAATCATTATCTTACTGGTGGATTTTCTGGTTGTTTGCATTTCCTAACTATGATAAAAAATGTTGATAAGGGTAGTAACTTATTCAGAAAATGTAGTGTATTCATACCAATTATTTTCATTTTAGAAACATTTTTTTATATGGACTTTGGCCATTCTCAAATGTCAGTCCTTGTGAACAGAATTAATTTTTAAGACAGTAGATAAATCTTCCTGACTTAACTGACTCTCTTTTTTTCTTTCTCCCTCCTCCCCTCCCTCTCTCCCCCCCTTTCTTTTTAACTTTTGAAAAGATAATACAGCAGGATTCACTAGGAGAGAATCAACTACAATTTGAAGTCCTGCATCATTTCTCCCCCATCCATAAGCTAATGATCATTATGATAATAGGTAACTTTTGTTAGGCTCTAAGTGCCAGGCTTTGTTGTAAGTACTTTACACATGTTAATATTAATTCTCATAGAAGAATTAGGAAGTAGACAATGAGTATCCCCATTTTGTTAATGCAGAAATTGTCAGGTTTTCTGATGCTGGAAACATGAGAGGACTTCCACATGGTGTACCTGGAAGGCCCGGACAGTGAGTCCTTATTCCGTGTGTGGTAAAAGAAAGCAGTGCAGCTCACCAAGGCCCAGTGGTCACGGCTCCCAATCAAGAACTGCTCCAGACTTCATGGGGGGTCCAAGTTAGGATGATCAACTCCTCTGCTTTGCCCCAGATTTTCCCACTTGCCCACTTTTAGGAAACTCACTCCCTTAGTCCTGGGTGAACCGAGATGGTTGGTCGCCCTAGTCCAAGTAGTGTTTTTTTCTCTTTTTTTAAACATTTTTATTGATGTCAGAGAGGAAGGGAGAGGGAGAGAGAGATAGAAACATCAATGATGATAATCATTCATCGGCTGCCTCCTCCACGTGCCACACTAGGGATCAAGCCGGTAACCTGGGCATGTGCCCTGATCTGGAAACCAACTGTGACTTCCGGGTGCATAGGTCACACTCAACCTCTGAACCACGCTGGTGGGCATGTTTGTTTTGAGGAAAGGTGAGAGAGAACATACCTGGAGCAGGTGGGTGGTAGCTCTGTGTCGTGCTCATCAATGAATTTGGCAGGAACTTCATTGTGAACCATTGGCAGTGGGTATCTTTTTCATAAACCTAGCTGTATAAATGGTAAGGTCAAGGTTGCTGATCCCCCCTCTCTAAGGAGTCACTGTGGTACTCCCTGTGAGATAGGAAAAGATTAAAAATGAGAAGAGACATACCACCTGGGTTGCGTATATCAGAACACAAAGGATTTTGAAGAGCAACCAAACCACACAAACTCCCTGACAGCAAAAGTTCCTGTGTTGTTTTTCTCCCCCTGATTTTTAAGGTCAGGCAATTTAAGTGCAATGTCCTGCCTTTACCTATAAAAGGCCTACTAAATACCCACTCTTCCTTGTTTCCACTGCAGCCAGCAGCCCAAGCTGCTGCATTATCTGTGTTGCACAGATTTATGTGTGTGTTTTTTTTTTTGGTATGTGACCTGGAATTAACCTCATTACAACAAAGATGAAATGTCCCTTTAAGAAAAACTTTAAAAAGCAAAAAGATTGCATTTTTTCCCTTGAACAGTTTGACAAGCTTGTTATATTTAGAGTTCCAAGTAGAATGACTTTTGCTGTTGTAAACTCAGTCACAAATTGCAAAGGGGATCAGAAAACCAGAAACTAGTCATGTTTCTTGGCAGATGTTGGGTGCCAAGAGGGGGAAAGATGGGACCATGGGTACCCTTAACAACAACAAAAACCACAAAGCATAGGTCTATTTGGTAAGATTTTATAAAGTCTTGCATAAAAAATAACTCATTTGAAAATTGCTCCACCTAAGAAATTCTGATAAAAATGCCTGCTCCCAGAAATACAAATAAACAAGTCATCCATTCAGAGTTTAGCTCT